ATTTAACTGGGGGATAGGTTCTACGGAGAAGGTTCTTCAACAAAAGTTACATTTTGTTCCCTCTGGTGAATCCTTTTGTATTGATTGTTTTTTTCAACTTGATGGCTCTGGGCCAGGCTGCCAGGGAAGGAACCCCTGGCTCTCACTTACTAACTTGGTAACCTTGTCAAGTTAGCTTCTTCATGTCTAACTCATCATCTGTAAAATGGCGATACTATCTACATAATAGAGATGTTATATTTTAAAAATCCACATAAAACATGTAAAAGAATGCCGGCATATAAAATATGTTTAATAAGTATTTTGATCAAAATCAATAAAAATGCATTAAGAATAAAACAAAATAAATGGTGAGCAATGGTATCAAAACAATCTAGAAGAAAATATGACAAACCAAAAGCAAAAAAATGACAACTCAACCTAGGTAAGGTGACCACGTGGGTGAGTCCCCTCTGTCCATCATGCCTACCAGTTAACCCCGGAAACTCGCCGAAGTCCTGCTGCTTTGCCAGGAAGATTTCCCAGTCACTCCTAGTGCACAGTGGTCACTCCTGAACTCCTAATTCTCCATACCCCCAACTCCAAGCTACTTCTTGACAATGGCACATGACTAACACACACCACTTGAAGCATCTCTTTCCCAGAATAACTAACTTCAGTTCCTTCCACCATTGCACACACACAGGTCACCGTGTGGACCCTTTGGCATCGTGGCCGTCCTCTTCAGCTAAAGTCACATTTGCCACTAGAATGCTTTTGACAGAAAGCACCCTCCCATCCATTCCAGATGGGAGGCCTCATGCCGCTATTCCTTTCCATTTCTGCTGATGCGTTTACCTCCAGGCTGTCATCACCTCTCGGACACCTTCTCCTGCCAGACGTGGTGCCTCCAATGTGCCCTCTACCGTGCCCCTCAGCCCCTTCTTACATGAGCCTGTCAGATCATCTCAGCTCTGATCACATTACCCGTCCTCTGATGCCAACACAGCACAGCCCACAGCCCACACACCAAAGAGGACTGAAAAGCCAGGACAGTACCTGGACCACAGCTGACCTCAGCTCTAAATTCCTTGTCTTCTCTGCTTCCCACCCCCCTCCCTTTCTGTGCCCAGTGCTGCCCTTCAAAGCTTCAGGACTGCCTCAGCAAAGGTTTTCTCTGCTCAGCCTGTTTCGCCCTCTTGTTCTTGTTCTTGTGAACTCTGTGATGTGACTGACTGTTGTGTCCTCCCTACTAGAGCACCGCCCCCCGCAGACCAGCACCGCAGGAACAGGACTGACTTCTCTTCACGTGTAACACAGCACTTACCACAATGCCTGAAAACCGTCAGCCCTCAAGAGGTACTTGGGGAAAGGGTAAGTAATGAACGGAGGCTGCCTGTGGTGGTGTAGTGTGTGGGACCTTCCTCCTCCCTTGTTCATGATGCTATTTTCTTTGGCAGCCATCCTAACATTTGGTGCACTCTGAACCAGCAGGCAACAACATTTTTGCTCTTGAATGTGGGTCTCTCCCACTTCCTGTCCTTGTGTGGTTTTTCTGATGCTGAGCACAGGACTTTGTGTTCCATCTCTATTGGAGGTGCTTTAAGGATGGAAGTGTCCACCTCCGCCAGTTTGCAAGTGTCTGATGGTAAAACATTAGAACTGGAAGGACCAGGAAGGTCATCTAATCTCACAAATCTCTCTCCCGCCGCCAAAGGGCTCTCTAGCTCTGTTCAGACAGACCCTAACAGGGATGCACCAGCGCCCAAGATGACCCACCCCTGTGGGACACTGTGGGAAAGCTTCGCCCGGGGCAGATGCTCCCCATGAGGCCATTCTCAAAAAGCAATCAAAAGTGGCACTTTTCTGTGTGTGCTCGCCATGTTGGAAGAACTTAATGTCACTTATGGTAGGACAATTAGTACATCTTTCATATGAAGCCAAGTTTTGACTTCCTATTATGTCCACTTACTGGTCCTGCCCTTTGGAAACTACAGAATAGATCTACCTATGGTATGTCAACCATTTAAACAGGTGAGAATAGCTATAGTGCTCATTCACGTCTCTTTTCCAGACACGAAGTCTGGCAAAGTATCAGAGTACAGATACTAGCATGTTAGGACAGGAAGGCACAACTGAAACGCTAATTGAAGATAACAATGAAAGGTACAGAAACAGAATTAAGAAAAATGTTAGAACACTATTCCAAGTGTTTCCAACGATGATGGTATCTGTTTAAAAGCTCTTTGGTGCGGTCGTAAAATTACCACTCCTATAGATGGAGCTATGTGAGGTCTTAACCAAGGAGATAGTTAGAAAATGTCCATCTATGAAAATATGAATGTAGTATATACAAATAGGAATACTGCCTCCACTGCATTGCAAACCACAGGGAAAGCAGCTTCAAAACAGCTTATTGAATACTACCTTAGGATTTGCTATAAGCCTTTAGGTCTTCTGATGTACATGAGTCAAAACACTGACCTCCATCTTGAGTTTTTAGATTCTCCCCAAGAATACTGCCATCCAGAGCTGTGTGTTTTTGCCCTGCCCTCTGAAAATCCAAACTAAGGAAAAAAATGGTGTGACAGAACTATGGATGTATCCACTCTTCCCAGCAGCAAGAGCTGCCAAGAGATTCCTAACTCACCAAATTGGCAAATGACCCACTGCTCTGTCACAGCAAGACCAGAGGTCACACCTCCGCAGAACAGTGCGTGCTGCAACAGCCAAAGGTGCTTATTCCCCTCTGCCTGCCATCATCTCTGTCCTCTTGCTTTTGGGGAACAGCAGTCTTCTTACTCCAGATAATCACTGCTCCCCCAGTTCCTATTATGTGGTACTAGAAAGGGATGTCACGCATGGGACTTCACACACGCCAAACCAGGCCAGAGTCCTGCCTCAAGATTTTTCAAACTGGAGCTACGAACGGTACAGGTTGAGGAGGGAGGTGCAGGATAATGAAGAGCCAGCCCTCTCTGAACTAGGAAGGTTGTGCAGTGGGTGCCTGGGCACTCCGTATGGTGGGAGAGAATGAAGCAGCAGTGAGACTGAGACCCTGGGGCCCTCAGAGCTGCAGGCACCTGCCTGAGTATTGGCTGTTCAACTCTTCCTTTGATTCAGGGAGCTACCCCAAGATCCCTTCAGTAAATCTCTTGTTTAGCTGACAGTAGATAAAGTTGGGTTCCTGTCACTGGCACTAAAAAGAGTCCTGACAGCCAGTACCAGAGCCAGCCTGGAGGGTATGGTTTCAAAGAGGATGGTCTAACCCTTTAGCTATTTTACACTTGATCCAACCAACATTTACTGAGTGCCAACCATGTGCCAGGAATGGTTCCAGATGCTAGAAAATACAAAGATGCAAAAGACATGGTCTCTGGTCTCAATGAGTTCAGTCTGCTATAGTCAGAGGCTCAGAACTCTCATCCCACCGGAAATAAGTGTCTCATATCTGAGAAGACCAGATAAAGACAGATCAGAAGGACCTAACATCTGAGAACAAATTTTAAATGGTCCTACTTAGTCAAAACTAGGTTGTCAAAAGAATCTACAACCCTGGACATTTTAAGTGACTAATTCAGCACAAGTACCAGAGGAGAAAAGGGGAGCAGGGGGATCACCAAAGACACTAAGGCCAAAATGTGTTACAACCACAGCAGCAGCGGGAGAATGACAATCATGGGTACTTCAGACCCCAATACAATCATTGCTGGTGATGAGACAAACACTCAAGATTTAGGAATGTATGGGAAACCATCTAAAAATCATCAGGCTCCAACAAGTCTGACAGGCTGAGAAAGCTGGGAGGGAAAGACAACAGAAAGGTAACTTGTTGCCCTGCTGTGTTTTCCAAGATCTGTTTCTAGAATGAACCCTGGGAGAGCTGGATATTCATTAAACGGCAGGACACACCAGGTCACAGTCCTAAACTGGCAAAAAGCCACCAGGCCTCCATTTCTACCAGACATCAACAGAAGCCAGACAAAAGCAGTCCTCTGGCTGACGTCTCCGTTCAGAAGACCTGCAAATACTCCAATGTCCCTGAAAGCCCTGACGGCCAGAGTCACAGGGTCAGGGTCAGTGATGAAAGCAACATTTCCTCCTGATGAAATGACAGGTTGTTTCTGACAGGGCAGAGAGCAGCAGTTTGTAGATCCCTTGTGAAAACGTCAGGAATGAATAGGCCTTTTCACTGCCTTCTTCTTTAAAGCTTCTTTTGTAGAGGGATGTAGGTAGCAACAAAGGAGAGATTTATCACCAGGAGCCCGCTGGGCAGCTGTTTTCTTGTTGTCCCTTGTTTAACTTCTCTCAAGAGAGCAGAGTTATCTACCCAGCTAAGCAGGTGTTTAAGGCAGGTGATTCTGTTTCCATTAATTTTCTTAAGTAATAGTAAACCAGGCTAGAAGGTTATCTCACGCCCTCATGGGAACCTTAACCCTGTGCCTGCTAAATCACAAGGTGTCAGCTGCGAGCAATGGCAGCGTCTACTCCCTGTTGGTCCTTGGTCCTAACATCTTCAACTCTCTCTGTCTAACAGTGTGCTGAACCCAGGAGACAGTACCCACCCCGACCCTCAACATCTGGGTTTTGTTTTCTCTCACAGTGTCTTAGGTATAAAGTGAGGCTGGAGGCTTTCAGGTTTTCAGGAAACACCAGATTAGAGAAGCATTACTGTTGATTTCAAACTCAGATAAACAATCACATGAATGACTATCAATTTCATGTTCCAAGCTGCTATTAAGTAGAGGTTAACATAAAATATGAAAAAGAATTGTTTTCATTTTAAAGCTTCAGGCTTCGTAAATCTATACATTTACGCTCCAGCCCTGGATGGACTTTCCAATCTTCTCTAAGAGAAGGCCCACAGTGTGTGCGTTCTGCACGGGACTTGTAGCATCAGCTACAATAAGCTTTTCTCCTCCGCTCATCATCCTCAGTTGTAGGTGGCCAAGGAGAACCCCACACTGTTATATGTACTGGACAAAATCCTAAAGCCTTTCGTGCTTTAGTCTTTTGATTACCTTTAATGTTCTCCTCTTGTAAAGCCAGGATCACAAGGAGCGAACATTCGGTGGCACATTTCTTTCTCTTTATCCGTGTAGTCCCTGTAATAGCTGTAAGGAAAAATACACAGTAGTTGGTCTGTCTATGTAGGAGGTGACATCTGGTGGCTGGAATTCTCCACTCACGTCCAGAAGCACTGAAAATTCAGTGGGCTTTTCAACTGACTCAGGAGGGGTGAGAGCAATGCTGGAGAGGTAGGGGAGCCGGTGCAGGCCCCCAAGGGCTACTGAGGGGGCCCTCGGACAAAAGGCTGTAATCTGAAAAGATGGCAGCCTTGACGGCTGGAAGCCACTGTCAGTGAGGCTGAGGGCTGAGTGCTGCCAAGTGACGCCTCACACTCAGTGGCCTCTAAGTCATCTTGAGATTTTTCTTGCAAAGAATGGTTAAAGTCCAAAATTTCTACACATAACCTGACAGGATACTTATAGATATCAGAAATAAAACTGCAACAACTGGATCCAAATATAAGAGGTGCACATACCTCAGGCTTTTCTAATCTCAAGAAAGCTTTAACTAAGCAATTTGGTTAAATGTTTAATGTTAATAGTAGATAATCTCACCAATACAGAACAACAAGAAAAACACCTAAAAAACAGTGGATATATTACAAGGTGATGGAATTATGGGTGATTTCTATTTATATGTTGATATTTTCAAAGTTTTCTAATGAACATATAACTTCTATAACCAGAAAAAAGCTACATTACCAAAAGGCTGGTACAGATATCACTTGGGTAACAAGAAAATCACCCTAGATGGGTATGAATCAGACCTGAAAGATCAATTTCAGATCAGATGAGGGTCTATAAGACACCTTTCTGCAGTCAGTTGAGAACAGTGGTTCTCTGTTGGTGGTAAGTAAGAAGAATATCCAAAGAACAAGACCTTTTTAAAAAAGTTACACTGGCCCTCCTCTTACGGGTGCTTACTTGCAGGGGGAGGGGAGAACAGGGAGGTGGAAAATGATCCAGACAGGTGTAACTTAGAGGTTTATCCCACTTCCCAGCTGGGAGCTGCTTGGTTAGAATACTAAGCACTTCATAAAACTGGCTCTAGGGGGCGCTGTCCCATAACCCGTGCTGGACAACACCCAGGTGGAGAGGCCAGAACTGGAGCCGCAGGACACAGGTCTTTCTCTGCTTGCAGGGGTGCAAACAGAAGTCTCACCTGGCCAGTTTCTTCAGCTCATTATTGATGTCATGATTGATGGGCTGTTCCTTCTGGGCTCTGACTAGGAAATCCCGGGCTTTCTGATACTCAGTCATGAGGAGACAGGCCTGTCAAAGGAGACTTTTCAAAGCATTCTTAGGAAAGACAGTTTTTGTGGTGCCCAAGTTGAACACCACTGCTACCTTCCCCAAGTCCCCAAGTCCCTATCCTCCAACTCACCTGTCCACATCGGAAGAGGGCCTTGGCATTCTTTGGGTCAATGATCAGCGCCTGCTCTCCATAGCGCAGGGCTGTAGTGGGTCGTTCCAGCTTCAGGTATGTAAAGGACAGGTTAAGGAGAACAAGAAGTTTGGCGGCCTCCACCAGCTGCTGCTCTTCACGAGCTGCTGCTGATCTCCGGCGAAGCAGCAGCAAGGCCTGCGGAGTTTGGGAAAGACAGGTGGTCAAGAGGAGTGACATAACCTCATATGCAGAGAACCCTAAGAATCCACACACAAAAAATATTAGAGCTAAAAAATTAGTTCAGCAAAGTTGCAAGACACAAGATCAATATATGAGTTAGTTATATTTCTATACTCTAGCAATAAACAATCCAAAAATGAAATTAAGACAATTCCACTTATATCACCAAAAAGAGTAAAATAAGTAGCAATAAATTTAAAGTGCAAGACTTATACACTGAAAATTACAAAACACTGTTGGAAGAAATTAAAGACCTAAATAAATGGAAAGACATCTTACGTTCATGGGATCAGAAAGCTTAATGTTGGTAAGATGAGATGGCAATATTCCCCCAAATTAATCTATTATACAGATTCAATGCAACCATACCAAAATTTCAATACCCCTTTTCACAGAAATGGTCAAGCTGATCAGAAAATTCATAGGAAAATTCAAGGAACCCTGAATAGTGAAAACAATAGTAAAAAGAGAAGTTGGAAGGCTCACACTTTCTAATGTCAAAACTCATTACAAAGCTACAGTAACCAAGCCAGTGTGGTACTAGCATAAGGACAGACATATAGATCAATGAAATAGAATTGATAATGCAAACTGAAAGTCCAGAAACAAACCTATACATCTACATTCAACTAATTTTCAACAAGGGGGCCAACACCATTAATTGGAAAAAGAGTAGCCTTTTCAATAAATGGTGCTGGGACAACTGGATATCAACATGCCAAAGAATTAAGTTGGACCCCTACCTCACATTATATACAAAAATTAACTCAAAAGGGTTCATGGATCGAAATGTAAGAGCTAAATTATAATACTCTTAGAAGAAAATATAGGCGTAAATCTTTGTGATCTTAGACAATGGTTTCTTAGATATAATACCAAAAGCACAAATAACCACAGAGTAGGTAAACTGGCCTTCATCAAAATTAGAAACATTTGTGCTTCAAAGGACACTATCAAAACAGTGAAGGAAATGAAGAGGCTGGCTGATGTTCAAGAAAATCACTATACTCATCAGTTACTGGTTTAAGCTGACAACATACAATGGTTTACTGCTGTCATTATCTATGCCTGCAGATAATTTATTTTGTATTTTTGAATAAAAAGACATTTGTACATTCCTTAAAAAAAAGAGTGAAATGATAACACAGATTGGGAGAAAATATTTGCAAATCCTATTTGATAAAGGCTTAGCATTCAAGACATATAAAGAACTTATATAACTCAACAATAAAAAGACAACCCAATTAAAAATGGGCAAAGGATCTGAATAGACATTTCTCCAAAGAAGACATGCAAATTGCCAATAAGCACATGAACAGATGTTTAGCATCATTAATCATTAGGGAAATGCAAATCAAAACCACAACAAGGGGTGGCTGGTTAGCTCAGTTGGTTAGAGTGCAGGCTCACAACACCAAGGTTGCCAGTTTGATCCCCACTTGGGTGGCTGAGATGTGCCCTCCACAACTAGATTGAAACTACCTGACTTGGAGCTGATGGGTCCTGGAAAAACACACTGTTCCCCAATAAAATAAAACGAAACAAAAAAACCCACAACAAGATGCCACTTCACACCCACTAGGATGGCTATAATTTTAAAAATGGAATGTAAGTGTTGGTGAGAAGCCCTTGTTCAATGGTGGGAATGTGAAATGTTGCAGCCACTATGGAAAATAGTATGGCAGTTTTTCAAAAAGTAAAACATAGAATTAACATATGACCCAGCAATTGCACTCCTAGGTACAGACCCAAAGAACTGAAAACATTAAATCTACACAAAAACTTGTGTATATAAACGTTCATGCCGACATTGTTCATAATAGGCAAAAAGTGGAAAACAACCCAAATATCTACCAACTGATGAATAGACAAAAGGCAGTAGGATTAATACAAGAGGATATAATATTCAGCCTTAAAAAAGAATGCAGTTTGAGAACCGCCATGGCCAGTTAGTTGCAGGGTACCCAACAGCTGCTGCAGGCCCAGAAGTGGGCCACCGAGGTGGTGTCTGAGGCCCGCAGGTGAAAGAACCAGAGGTTAAAGCAGGGCAGAGAAGAGGCTGAAATTGGACAGCACCTCCTGTTCAAGGCCAAGGAAGCTGCCACTCTGGGATCCCACAGCAGCTGCAACGCCGAAGTGCAGAAGGACACACAAGAGAAGATGACCGTCCTCCAGACCTATTTCCGGCAGAGCTGGGATGAAGTCCGGGACGGCCTCTTGGCCTGTGCGACATCCGGCCAGAAGAAATCCACGAAAACTCTGCATAAATGGATAGGGGAAGGAGTGTCTGTTCCATGGATTGGCATTTTAGATGACTCTGTGGAATATGAAGCTTTTAGCAAAGCTTGAGTTGTACTCTTGTGAAAGGCATTAAATTATTTGTTTATTACATAGTCGGTCTTTTACTTTTTGGAGAACAGCAAATCTAGCTGCTTTGTACAAACTCAGAGCTTATCCAAAAATTTCATCTTTTTACCTCATATATCTTAGAAATTTAAGGGTATATGTTGTCTGTTTTTCTATGCCTTTATTTTTAAGATTTTATTGGGGAATTGGGATAGGGGAACAGCGTTGGGGAATCGGGGAAGGGGAACAGACAAGTTGCTGTCCTTTTGTTCTTCAGTCTAGTTGTGGAGGATATTGCTTTACTGGCCCATGTTGGTATTGTCATTGCGCTCTTCCTGGGTGAGGCAGATCGGTTGCCGGCCACTGAACGGCTGCTCATGGCGGCTCTTATCGGCTCACGCTGGCTGCCGGCTGCTCACGCTGGCTGCCGGCCATTCACGGTAGCTTATGGCAGCCCACTGCAGCTTCACTGCAGCCTACGCTGTCACTGGCAACTCACGGCAGCCCAGCTCCAGGTTGAGCTGTTGTTCACCATCCTAGCTGTAGAGAGTGCAGCGTTACTGACCCTAATGTGGGATCCGAACCGGGGCTCTGCTGCTGAGAGCAGCCGTCCCAAGCCAACTCTTAACCAATGCACCACTCGGCCGGCCCTATGCCTTTAATTCAAACAATGTATCTCAATATTGACTTTTTCTTGCTTAAATATAGTAAAAAAAATTAATTGTAAGTGGGTTTCAAAATTATGACAGAACTGGGAAAGCAGGAGAAGTAAGAGTAACAGTGAGAACTAAAGCCTCACTTTCTGTAATGAGAAATAAAAAATGTCAAAAAGAACTACAGCATGTCACTTATAAAGGCAAAGTACCAGAAAAACAGCAGATGCAATTAAAAAGTGACTGCCTCAGGGATCAGACCTAGGAAACAGGACTAAGTAATGGAAGGAGTGGTCTATTTTTTATGAGAAAATTTTTTCAAATGAGCGGGCTCTCAAGACACTTTACAGATAGTATCCGTGATTCAACCTAACCGTGAGCCTGATTGTCAGCATTCCAAAAGACAGGCACATGCGTGATCTTCCCTTCTCGCTCTGAAGCACATTCATATGAACCAAATGTTGACAGACACTGTTAGCTGCTTACACAATATCTATTCCCTTCCTCTTCTCCTAACCATTTCTATTCCATTCAAAGCAGCAATGTACTAATTTAAAAAGTACATTTCCCAGCTTCCTCTACAGCTAAGGGTGCCCATTTAACATGGCCAATGAAATATAAAAGGAAGTCATAAACAAACACACCAGACTCTTCTCCCCTTCCTTCTTCCTGCCCAATGATCACAGGATGCTACAAACTGGATGAGCATCTTGGGGGAGGGGTGGGAAACAAGGACACAATTAAGGGGAGCTGAGCTTAAAGAAGGAAACTATTGGGTTGTCAGAAAGGTCGTGATGCATTTTTGCAATGAAAAACGTAGAAAAAAAAACGTCATGGCTTTCCCGACAACCCAATAGATCTCTGGTGGCTTTGTGGAACTGCTATACCAGTCTTGGACTACCTCCCCTTTCATGTGAGGAAAAATTAAATCTCTAGTTTACTTAAAGAACTGCTTTTCAGGATTCTGTTACTTGCAGCTGAAGGCAAATCCTGAATGATTTCGGCTCAGTATGCAAATGAGATGTAAACTCAGAATACACCCAGACTCTAAACTCTGTCCTGTGTCTAGAACCTAAGACACAGAGTCTGACACACAGAAAGTGCTCATTATATGTATTGAATGAGTTACACAGCATGGTGAATTCCTGTTGGCATAACCTGCACAAGAAGCCAAACCGCAATCAGAAGCTTGTGAGAAGGGAGTCAACTCAGAGTTAGATGACTCTCCACTGTCAGACAGGAAATGAAGAAAGCAAATTTTACAGAGAGGGGTGGAAAAACCAGTTGGTAAAGAATCTAATACTAAGTTTAAAAAACGTTTTACTGAAATATACATACATATACACAAAGCTGAGTACAAAAATAAGTATATAGCTTGATGAAATTTTCACAACCTGAACACACCCACGTAACCAGTACCAGCACCAGACACGTAACATTACCAGGCTCTCTCCAAATCCCTTGTCCCCTCGCCCAGTCACCAACCGTCTGGATGAGGGAGTTTAATGACATTTTTCTTAGTGGCTGCATATGAAGAGTAGGAAAAAAGACAAGGGCTATGTCTTTTAAACAAGAACATTTTCAGGGTCTACACATACTTCTAAAGTGTGCTTACCCGTTTATATCGCACTTTGGCATCATAGAAGCGATTTTGGCGGAAAAGGTAGTTGCCAAACTCCCGTTCAGTAGCTGCCACTTTTAGGACCTTCTCAAGTGGGAATTGATCTTGTTGCACCTGAAGACCAATGACAAGGACACCCAGCCAGGAAACTGAAAACCACAGTGCAAGTGTGATTGCAGCTGCTAGTTTTTCTCCTTCAGACTATGAACTCTTGTTTACTGCCACATGGGTGCTAAGTCCTGGGCTCGGTGCCTCTGCAGAGGTCACCTTTGTGAATCTCAAGAGAAGCCATGGCAGGTCCGTGTTCTCACTGCCCCCACTTTATAGGCTAGAGGCAAAAGGAGGTCTACTTCTGCAGGTCTCCCAGAGACTTTTCCGAAAGCAGCAGTTTCCTATGGAATTAGAAACTAACAGAACGTATCAAGCACAGAAATCAGGACTCACACCAACCATTAATCCATCAACCATTTAACAGGTCTGGTCTGCCCAGGCCCCTACTGGTCTTTATGGCCACAATGCTCTACCTTGGGTACATATCAGAATTACCCAAAGAGCCTCTTTTTAAATAGACATGTCCTAGCCACACTCCCAGAGATTCTAAACCAGGACACCAGTGGTGGGACCCAGAATCTGCAAGAACCTTTGTTTTGTGTAAAGATAAAAAAAGGTAAGGTCCCTCACTTGGGGTGCTGACAGTTTAGCTGGGGAGACATCGTAAGATGTAAACTTGGGGTGGACATATACAGGGCAGTGTGAGATAGCATGACAGTGCAAAGGCCTTATCTCTACAGGATGGGTTAAATAAAGGCAACAAACAGCAAATTTTGAGTTATGAGGACAGAGGCCATATGTCCCAATATGCCTGGGATTATCCCTCATGTCCTCGTTCATATCTTTGCTTATTAATGGACTAGTTAATAATCCATTTTACTCTTAACTGATAACAAATTATGCGGTCACCCTAGTTACAAGCTACCAATGCTTGACTTGCTGGAGAGCAAATATAATGTTGAGAAGCAAAATTTCACTGCTTTGCAAGGAGAAGTAGGAAAAGGGTGACTAAAAGATCGGCTCACATTGCTGGTCTGTAACAAAACCACAGCCAGACCTTGGCCTAGCACAGTTAGCCACACACAGAGCCATTATGAAGATGGACAGTCCTAGAAGTGGGTGGACTCCCCCACCACTACACAGGAGCCTCAGGGTGGAACTGAGCCAGAGGATCATCAGCAGGGCAGGATAATTACCAAAACACAACCCCAACCTTTTCTCTATGAAGTGTTGATATCTGTACTCCAGAACTTACGGCTGAGAGGGCACAGAACTTGTCCGACTCAGCAGAATCCAGGAAGTCAAGAAGCTCAATCTCGAACAGAACAGTGGTGTTTGGGGGGATCAAGGGCGGGCAGCCCAGTTTTCCATAGGCATAGGCCGGTTTGAACAGAAACCTGGCCAGCTCTCCCCTCCGCATGCTCAGAAGGCCCAGCTCCATGCCCCAAAGTGTAATATCTGGAAGAAGGGACAGAGAACTTGGTTAAAACTTGCCCCGTATACTGTTGCAATGCTATCCATTTCTTCTTCCTTTACATCCAAGTCTCTCCAAATAATATTCCAAACCTTCTACACTGTGGTCCCAACTCATTTTTCAGCTTGTTTCCCACCACCACCACCACCATGCCTAACTCTTAACTTCTCTGGGCTCTGTAGCATTCTGGCCTCTACATCTTTGTCCACACAGTTCTTTTTTCCTGCAACGTCTTCCTCCTCACCCCATGCCCAGGTGCAGCCCTGATTGAAATCTTATTCAAACTTCAGGGCTCATTTCACATGCCTCTTGTTCCATGAAGCCTTCCCTGATCTTCCCAGCTGGAATTAATGGTGTCATCATTATGTACTCTTACAACACTCATTGCCTTATACCTCCCAGGAATTTATCCGCTTCTGCCAGGTTAGTTGTCTGAATGTGGGCCAATCTGTACCACCACACTGGCCGGGATGTTCTAATCATCTGGGTACATCCTCTCTTGTCACCATGCATTGTGGGCAGTAAGCATTCAACAGATGTTTACTTGATAAATGAACAAATGAAAATGCAATGCCCAACGGTGAAGTCAGGATGCAAAGATAACCCTGCCAGGTAGGCCATCTCCCAAGTACCAAGGTCTCGAGGGGGACTGTGGGAGAGAACATGGCTGGTTTAGCAAAACCCAGCCTCAGAAAAAACCGACTCAAAGGATCTGCATTCCTGACATTTTTCCAGTCCTAGGGCATTGTCCTTCACCAACTTCCCCAAACAAGCCCTGCTCTTCCAGTTCATCTGAACTTACCCTCTCCAAGTTTCATTAGCCGGGGAACTTTCCTAAAGCAATTAGAATCAAAAGGCTTGTCCATGTGCTCCAGGTATCCAGAATATTTCACTAGGCCACAGGAAACATAGGGTGAGAAAAATGGACCAAGAATACCTTCACCTCTATAACATCACGTCTCTTTAATTATCACACACAAACGATAGAATTAGATACGCTGGTGACTGCTCCACACCCTGAGCGATACGAACAAATTTTCGCTTAACGTTTGGACGGCTGCCCTTTGGCCCTGAGGTTCAGGAGCTTGGCTGGTGGGCCTCGGAGTGTTCCTTGCTCACTGTGGCGTCATGCAAAGGGGATATGGGTTCCCTAGCTTTCCCTTAAAGCCCCAATTCTATCACAGCATGTTCTACACGATAAAAATGCTAGTTTATTTTCTTCTTAAACGTAGCCTCTCCTCTACCCCCAAAGTGCAGTGAAACGCTTGCTACCCTCCTAACTACCAGTCCTCATATCGCCAGCTTCCCGAGGACAAACGGTAGCGGGCCGCGGGCCATACCTAGCACTGAAGCATCCGGTGTCACCAGCTCGCCAGCGCCCTCTCGGACAACATCCTTCAGCACGCCCCGGTCCCCAGAAATGTCCAGCATCCACTGACTTAACCTTTGGTACGGAGACTTGTGGGGAATGAAACACAAGCCTTAGAGCCCTCAGACGGCACCTCGACTCCGTCACCCCGGCCCCTGACTCACCAGCGCCAGGACCCTCACCTGGCCAGGGGTGCCGTCTCCTCGTGGGACTCCCGGGGTACCAGCTCTCCCCACCATGTCCGCGCATATGAACCCTCAGTCCCACCGCTCTCCCACTGCCAGCAACTCCGGAGATTCCCGAAGGCTGCGACCCAACCGCCCCCTTTTTACCCGGCCGCTAGCCTCGGACACCGGCATTCCAGTCAGCGGGCGCGAGAAGCTCATCCCTTCGTCCCAACAGCAGCAAACGGCCCTCCGACCCACTGAAGGCCCGGCGGCGCACGTGACAGGGGCGTGCGATGCACGTTGGGGCACGTGCGGGGACCCGTAGAACGTGGCGTAGCGCGCGGTGGATTACGTGGCGGAAGGCGTGGGGAACCGACGCGCTGGTGGTGAGGGTTAGCTGTGGGGCACGTGATTGGGGAAGGGGGTCACGTGGTGGGGCGCGTGGCTGAAGCGTGCAGGTGAGGGGGAGGGTCCAGAGTCGGCGTGCTGCTGGAAGGGTCTGGCCTGGCGGCAGAAAGTTGTTCCCACCTTCTTTCCTTTCCTTTTCCTTTTCGAGTTTAGGCCGGGATAGGACTTTAAAAGTCAAACTGACCAGTTCCTGAGAAAACAAGGTGATGTCTCTCACTTTCCCATCACAAAATCTGAGCACCTGCACTGGGCCTCTTAGTGCAAAGGAAGAATGGCCCTGGATCCCAGCCCTTCCGGTTTGTTCTCTGGGCTTATTCCCTGGGTCCTTGCGCTCTTGCCTGCTCAAGGACTTTGGGTACCCCCTCTCTCCTGCACCAATCTTGCCTTGACTGCTGGATCGAGTCCTTCAGCTCATATGTGTCTGCAAATCTCCTACCGTAAAACAAATGAGCCTTCCTGGGGATCACTTCATAGGTTATGTAGCTGCCTCACCACTGCGCTACACCTGAAGCTGATGCAGAATAATGTGGAATGTCAACTATATTTATATATAGATACACACACATACACACACACATATGTATATATTCCAGGGGTGCCAAAAAAATGTATACACATGACTTGTATTCGTCTTTTGTTATCAGTATATATTGAGTATTATAATTTTAATATTGTTTTTTCCTTTCTTAAAATGTGTATACATTTTTTGGCACCCTCTATATATGTATATGATGCAAAGTACAGCATAGGGAATATAGTCAGTGATATTGTAATAGCTATGTAGGATGTCAGAGGGGTAGTAGACTTAGGGAATTATCACTTTGTGAGGGGTCTAAATGTCTAATCATTATGTTGTTTTGTACCTGAAACTAATTTTTTTACAAAAAGCATTAAACAAACAAGTGAGCCTCCCTTTTTCTCCCTCCTATTATAGGTGGCTCTACTCCTACTCTTCACAGAAAAGCTTCTCAAAAGAGTTGCTGCAGAGGCTTTTTCATCTACTCTGTCTGCACTTCCTTACCTTCCATTTTCTCTTCAACCCACTCTAACATACCACTTTCCCCTGCTCCGTGCCACCTAGACTGCTCTTGTTGCCAAATCCATCAGGCACACCTCTTTGTCCTCAGATTACTGGACTCTTGTCAGCATTTGACGAAGTTGACCTCTCTGACCTTTAAATGCTCCTGTCTCTTGGCATCTGTATTTATTTTCTATCACTATCACAGCAGATTACCACAAACCTAGCTGTTTAAAGCAACACCTATTTATTCTCTCACAGTTCTGTAAGTTAGAAGTGACGTTGATCTCACTACGTTAAAATCAAAACATCAGCTTGACTGGAAGCTTGGGTGAGGAAATCCACTTCAAAGCTCATTCAGGTTGTTGACAGATCCAGATCCTTGCAGCTCTGAGACTGAGGTCCCCATGTCCTTGCAGGCTGTCAGCTGGGGGCCACCCTTAGCTCTTAGGGGCCTCTCCCCCGTCCTTGCACATCGGCCTTGACATCTCAGTGAGCAACAGCGTGCTGCATCCTTCGCATGCTTGGAATCCTCTCACTTCCTCTTCTGGAGCAGCTCTCTGACTCCAGTTAGAGAAAGCTCTCTGCTGTTAAGGTGTCATGTGATTAAATTGGACCCACCAGGTAATTCAGGTCTATGACCATGATTACATACTCAAAGCGCTTTTGCCATGGAAGGTAACACTCACAGAATCTGTGAGTTAGGGCATGGATATCTTTGGGGGGCTATTTTGCTTCCCAAAGCTTCCTAGTCACCACACTCTCCTGATGTTCCTCCTGTCTCACTGGCTGTCCCTTCTCAGAAGTCATCGTCCATTTCCTGACCTCTCAACGTTAGCAACCTCAGGGTCTTCCTTGGACCCCTGCCCTTCTCTATTTTCAATCCCTGGGAGATCCCAACCATTCCCATAGGTTTAAGTATGTGATATAAATATCACATAATTCCTGGCCAGCCTAGGGCCCCCCAAGTGCTGGAGCTCCAGCTGCCTTTTTCAGTGGTTCTCAAAGAGTAGTCAGTCCCCAGACCAGCAGCATCAGTGCTTGTTACAAATGCAAATTCTTGGGCCCATTCCTGTACTCCTGAATCAGAAATGCTGGGGCCAGGGCCTAGAGATTTGTGTTTTAACAAGCCCTCCAGGTGATTCTGTTGTTTGCTGAAGCCTGCAGACCATGGGGCTACTCAGTTCCTCCATCTAGATGTTCTCAGGCATCTAACTCCATCCCCTTCTACTTTGTTCACCTCAGTGTTCTCTATATGTCATCGGCTTCATCACCCACCCACCCTGGTGCTTAAGTTACTGTTACCCATTACCTACACAGCAACTGGAGTGAGCTTTTAAAAATATAAATCAGTCTTGCATCATGGATGG